CGACATAGCGCAAATGGACATCGATGAAAAGGCTGTAGGGTTTTTGGGTTCTTTTGCATTATTGGGGAGAAACTTTTTTACCGATATAGATTGGGGAAGTGTTTTTAAACGCTTTATTCCTATTGCTAAACGTAAAAACTACACATCTTGATGATAAAATAGAAAAAAAAATATAGATTTCTACCAAAATTTTATCAAACAAAAAAACTAGAAAAATTTATTTTAAAATAAAAAAATTTCTATTTTACAAAACACTATTAAGATCTTGTATTAATGTACTAGGCATTTCTGGACGTTTAGGAAAAATTTGGTTCCTCCGATAACACTACGATTTTTGATTTCTGAAATTTTTGAAACTTGCGTAATGCTTCCGTTCAGTGGGAAGAGCGAAGGGCAGCACGGCGAGCTGGTCCACGAGCTCCAAAAGACAAGGAGAATCTACCTCCTCGACCTCCCGGCTTAACCCGATCAAATTCCTACGATCGGCGTGCGAACGTGGCGCCTCGGGCTCGGGTACATCGATTTTGCTCGACGTCATCAGCCCCTCAAATTGGTAGGTTGAGCTGTCATCAAAAATTGCCTGTTTTTCTAGAAGATCCCCGTCCAGCTGAAGAGCTGCCCAGGACAGCAGCCGAACTGGGACTGCGCCCAGTGCTGAATCCGGAGCCCGGTCGATTGGGCTATCGCTTTGACCCCGTGCAAAAGTTGGTCGTCGTTTTTCCTATTTTATGCGCTTTTTAGATGGAAACTGGTGAGCGAGGAGTGGCGACGGAATCCGCCCGTCCATGAAAAGAAGCGGCTCGACTTGAAATGGCGTGTCCGTGAATATATGCTGCGACAGGATGAGCCGCAGTATTTTTATGCTTATTGAATTTACCTCATTTTAGACGAGATCCCCGACTCCCCCACAAGCCCATCCTACACGCGAAGGCCTGGTCACCTCGTCCGTACTTGGATTGATGCGGAATTCTACGTTTTTCTTTGTGATTGCTGAGAGACCAAAGAGAATAAATATGGCACGAGATACATTGGCGCTTTTTATGACTTTAGAGGTGATCGCTGAGGACTACGAGAGGAGATCGATCGATCAAGATGAGGAATACGAGCGCTTGGCGGCGAATCTGGCTTCACAAAGATTTAGCTCAGTGACGTCTAGAGTGCGGCTTATTCAAATCAAATCGCGACTCAAACCGGTTTGATTTGAATAAGGGCGGTTTGAATAAGAATCTGCTTTTCAAATCAAACCGGTTTGGTTTGAATAAGGATCCGTTATTCAAACCAAACCGGCCAGGTTTGAGTTGGTTTGAATTGGTTTGAACAACAGGCAAATCAGCATGTTAATCGATCCGATGGATGCTAATCGGCTAAGTTTTCGAGGCATCCCTTCTAAAACCTTGTGCGATCAATATAATGATGAAATTGGCATCATTTACGGGGTTTACGCACTTTTTCAACGATAGGCTTGGTATTCACAACCTTTCACAAGCATCCAAATGGTCGGGATAACCTTGGCAGCGCTGAAAGAAAAAGGTCTCGAAATGATCCGCTAACCCCAAAAACCTAGCAGGAATGCTGCTGAATCACCCTAAAGTGAAGTCACAAAAGGATTGGTGCCAAAACGCAAAAATGGTGCCGAAAACCGACTGTTTCGGAGACTGGTTCTTATTCAAACCTTGTTCAAATTATTCAAACCGGTTTGGTTTGGTTTGAGTTGGGAATCCTTATTCAAACCGGGTTTGGTTTGAATAAGGATCCCGTATTCAAATCAAACCTGTTTGATTTGAATAACGGAAATCTTATTCAAACCCGGTTTGAATAAGCCGCACTCTAGTGACGTCCCTGTCATGACAGGGGCATCTCAAATAGTGCCCTACGGCCATCACACGTGATCCATGTATGCGAAATCTTTATATTCTACCATTCTTTCTCTTACTCATTATTTCAATCACGTTTCTTGAGGAAATTCTGGAACGGCGCAGCGGATTGATGGGTGGGAGGCTTTATACGGTATCTAATGCCTATTGTGATCCGCAGCATTCAACTGAACATGTTGTACGTTTTTTGTGGGTGGAAGGGAGAATGGGGTCAGGAGATAAGTAGCAAGACAACGAGCGCGTTTTCAGGACCTGGCCGCGAAGGTGGGCGCCACGGAGGTCGTGGCCAAAGATTCCGATGCCGCTCTTCATATAAAAACGCTGTTTCAGAAATATGTTGCCCAGGTCAATCACCAGACTTATCACACCAATAATTTTTATACAAAAGCTTTTCACGCTTTCTTGCAGGAATACGGCTCGGAAATCGACACGATGTACTTCAGATGCCCCCCACCAAACGCAGGTTAGCAATTGACGTACAAAAAGTTCCATTTGTTGAGATGTGGTGCTGATGGTCCGGAGACATCGCTGCCATCCTAGAAAGACCGGCGGGCGGCCATACCATGATTTGGATAGCAACGATGTCGACCATGTGTCGATGTCGATTACATTATTCCCAACCGAAATATAATTTTACTCGTCATTAAAAGCCCGGCATTCCTGTTTTCTAATAAACGTTTTTGTGTAGCCTTGTAAAAATTGTAGAACTCTCCAAGGTTTGTCTTCAAGTACCTTCACGCAGACCAAACCAGGAAAAAGGAAAAAAAAAGAGCACGCTATTGTATTCAAAAACAAAATTTTCGTTAAAAGTTACTGTCTTTTTACTTTGTTTCATTTTTAATACCACTTTGCAAATTTTGAAATGTTTTTGATCTGCGCCTACGTGACACTCCCAGCAACGCACACTTTTCATAGCCTGTACGATTCTTTGGGACCTAAATAAAATAAATAAACCAACTTCTGTTTTTTTGACTCTTTTTATGCTTCCTCGCTTTTCGATTTTTTGTGCCTTCGATTAAAATTGAATTTCTTTTTTCTAGGCATCATCCATGGGAAAACCCGACCCCGATGGGGCAACGAACAAGCGCAAGGAGCACAGAAGTATGATAGTTTTCCGTTAGTTACACTTTTCCTTTGCTAGGTCACGTCAAGGGTGGCAAAGTGACGAAGGACCATGACCGGAAGAAGAAGCTCGGCACGCTGACGAAGGAGCCGCAAGATGTAGTTGATTCACTGGCTTCTAACTAGAGTGCGGCTTATTCAAATCAAATCGCGACTCAAACCGGTTTGATTTGAATAAGGGCGGTTTGAATAAGAATCTGCTTTTCAAATCAAACCGGTTTGGTTTGAATAAGGATCCGTTATTCAAACCAAACCGGCCAGGTTTGAGTTGGTTTGAATTGGTTTGAACAACAGGCAAATCAGCATGTTAATCGATCCGATGGATGCTAATCGGCTAAGTTTTCGAGGCATCCCTTCTAAAACCTTGTGCGATCAATATAATGATGAAATTGGCATCATTTACGGGGTTTACGCACTTTTTCAACGATAGGCTTGGTATTCACAACCTTTCACAAGCATCCAAATGGTCGGGATAACCTTGGCAGCGCTGAAAGAAAAAGGTCTCGAAATGATCCGCTAACCCCAAAAACCTAGCAGGAATGCTGCTGAATCACCCTAAAGTGAAGTCACAAAAGGATTGGTGCCAAAACGCAAAAATGGTGCCGAAAACCGACTGTTTCGGAGACTGGTTCTTATTCAAACCTTGTTCAAATTATTCAAACCGGTTTGGTTTGGTTTGAGTTGGGAATCCTTATTCAAACCGGGTTTGGTTTGAATAAGGATCCCGTATTCAAATCAAACCTGTTTGATTTGAATAACGGAAATCTTATTCAAACCCGGTTTGAATAAGCCGCACTCTACTTCTAACCCTTTCTTTTAGATCAATCGCGCGCGCAAGGGCTACACATTCAAGTCGGCGAAGCGGGCGAATCAGGCCGTTCGCAGGTAAGAGGGCTTGTTTTTGAAAATGAATTTTTTTCAGGGCGGCCGATCAAAGCGAGCGCAAAAAGCACATCCCGTACGTCAACCGAACGCCGCTGATCCCTCCGCCAATCGTCGTGGCCGTTGTCGGGCCTTCCAGGGTTGGAAAGGGCCAAATAATATTTAAAATACCCTTTCCAGGTCGGCAAAAGTCTGTTGATCCGCGGCCTCGTCAAGAACTACATTCGTGGATCGATCAGTCAAATCAAGGGTAGCTAGGGCTTCCGGAAATGTTTGAAATACCCAAATTTAGGCCCGGTCACAATTGTCACCAGCAAATTGCGGCGCGTCACTTTCATCGAGGTGAAAAATGACATTAACCACATGATCGATGTGGCAAAGGTAGCCGATTTGGTAAGTGTTTGGTTTTGGTCCCACTAATAAATGGTACTGGGCTTTTAGCAGGGGGGAAACTACGTTTTCTTTTTGGGTTTATGCTTACCTACTCATATTAGATAGTGTATTTTTATAATGTTTTTGGTAGTTTTTGAATGCAAGAAAGTTGAAGAATTTAATAAGTTTGACAATTCAACGAATTGCGACCTTTTGGCGCATTTTTCATACATTTTTGACCAACACTCAAAAATTTCGAAAAATTTTTAAAATTTTTAAAAGCTTCACTTATGTAAAAACTGTGTAAAATGCTATAAAAGGGTTTATATTTTGTTATATAGACCGGAAAGGATTGCTTAGCAAATTACCACCCTGCTACCAGCCCAGGACCCAATAATTTTGATTTCAGGTGCTTCTAATGGTCGACGCTTCGTACGGGTTTGAGATGGAACACTTCGAATTTCTCAATATCTGCCAGGTATGGAGGAATTTTATTATTATGCATTAATAAATGACTTGTCAGGTTCACGGGATGCCGCGCGTGCTTGGCGTGCTCAACCACCTCGACGCCATCCCCAAATTGTCCAAGCAGAAGAAGGTGAAAAAGCATCTGAAGCACCGCTTCTGGACCGAGGTGTATCAGGTGAATTTTGGATGCCAGCGATGATCTCAATTTTCTAGGGCTGCAAGCTCTTCTATTTGTCCAAGTTGCACCACGAGAAATACCTGCCGACCGAGCTCAGAAATTTGGCCAGGTGATAATTGACAAGTACGCTTAGATTTCATGTAATTTCTAGATTTATCACCGTCATGAAATTCCGGCCAATGCCCTGGCGAGATGCTCATCCCTACGTGCTCTGCGATCGTTTTGAGGATATCACGGACCCGGAGGTGAGTTTTCTAGTCTAAGAATCAGGGGTTTTTTTTTGCAATATCGGGGGTTTAGAAATCCCTAGTAACGTATGTTAGTATTTTAATAGCCGTTTTAGCAAAACTGAGCAGTGTTTTAATCGAAGACATACAAAACTCACTTAAAATTTTTTGAATCAAATCTATCGTAAATCGACCATTTGGCTCGAAAAAATGCTGTAATAATGTTTTTAGCAAAATGTCCGTCAATTTTAAGTGGAAAAACAAACACAAAACCTTGGAAAAACATTTTTATTCGAAATTTGGCTCCAAAATCGTTTGTTTTGTATTCCCTAATCAACATCTGTAAAATTTTGACGTTGGTATTTCTAAAAAAGTTTGGAAATGATCCCTTGATTTATATTTGAAAAATCGGGTCCTTATAAACAATTGCGCCCCCCGATATTGCAAAAGAACCAAAAATAATCTATGTCTGTTTTAGACGCTTCGCCAAGCACCGAAAGCGGACCGGAACATTTGTCTTTACGGCTACGTTCGCGGCGCCCAATTGAAAGATCTCTCGGCGGTTTGTGCTTCGAATGACTGCTTGAAAACGGCGACTTCTAGGTGCACATCCCCGGGATGGGCGACATGCGCATCACCTCCATCACCTCAATGTCAGACCCGTGCCCGTTTCCGGATAACCTGAAGAAGCGCGGGCTGAACGAGAAGGTAGAGGTCACGAGAAAATTTTGTTTCCTTCGCATTATCGAGGCGGGGGGGGGCGAACTTTTTGTGTAAGTCTAGAAATGTCTTGTAACTTAACAGGAAGTTTTTGATAGTGTTTTTAGTATTATAAACTATTTCAACAAGAAAAACTAGCTAAAAACTTAGAAAATCGTTTAGAAACATTTGCGCTATTTATATTTGCAAAAAGTTGTTCC